GTCTATTTTAGTAAAACACTCGTCTGCGTATCGATATGTAAGATCTTCTTTAAGCCATAAAAAGAATTTATTAAAAAGTTGTGCGATAAATGTAAATTTTCTTTAGTTTCTTTTTTTAAAATTCCTTAATTGATTGTCCGATAATTACGCTTAGATCTACATCAAACTTAGTCGATCACATCAATAATTAGTAAGATGAATTTCCATCCCCTCTTTAAATTAACTCTTTAAAGGATATACAGTACATGATCCGGGTGGAAAAACAATGACCCAGATCAAACCCGTGTTGTGATTTTTAACCCGGGTTATGACCCGAGTTAATAGTCGTACCTACGTAGATTAATCTTGAAATTTTATTATAATATTAATTCGTTATCTGTTATTAATTCGTTATTAATTCGTTATAGTATATTAATAAATTTAAATCGAAACCTTTCGAACTTTGGATCCAAAAAACCTTTCGACCTTGCTCGTAATTCAAAAAATATCGAATCACTATAATTTATATATGACTTGACCGCATTAGAAAAATTTTCGACCTTTGACCCGTCAAGAAGCTGACCCTCTATCAGTGACAAATATTACGTAAAATCTTGAGGGAGGAGGATCTACGATATCTAAATTTATGTAAGGGAAGGGGTAAAAAAAATATTACGCAATATTTGTCACTACATTTGATTTCAAAAAAAAAAAAAGGGTTGAATTAAATTTAGTTGAGTTATAAAAAAAGTATACTATATTACGTATACAAAAAACACTACCATACTTTTTCAATCTTATCAATCTTAAATTAGTGGGAAACTTTTGATTGATTACTCCTCAATTTATTCCAATATGAGACTTAAAGAAGTAGAATAATCGTGACGTAAAAAATTTCGCATCTAGCCATTAATGTAGCTAACGCTAACACTAATAAAAATTAGTAAAATCCACTACGTAGTAACAAATAACTAAACATAGATTTTGTGATCTACGTAACGAATTTCACCCGGTCCTAAAAATTTCATTTTTCGAAATTTAATTTGATATAAGGCATGTGATCTCGAAATACCTGGTAGAGGATTTTAAAGTAAATAGAATTTATATAATTCAAGACTCAAATTTTGGCGTCAGTCTTGACAATTATATTTGTCAATACTTGGTTTTAAGCGTCATTATCGACACTAAATCCCAAGATGTGACAATTCCACAAAGGTACGTACTTTTTTAATTGACGGTACTCAATATAATAAAAATCCTTTATACGTAGGATTTTTTTTTTACTAATATACATATATCCAAAATAATAAAATTCATGTTTTTTGATCAATTAATTAACGTTGCTTCTTTTCAAGATTTATTAATTAAAGGATAGTATCCTATTATCTAGTAGCCTCCTAATAATTGGGCTATAAAACAAGTTATTTAAAAATAATAGATTGCAAATAACACTAGCTATTGGAATTCAATAACTCTATATTATAAAAAGAAAAAAAATTCACATTGCTAATTTTTAATCTAATATATAAAAAATATAAAACTATTTACAATAGCGATCAGCTTTAACCTTTTCCCGACGATCCAATAATCTATAAAAGACAAAATATTTATAATTAGATATCAAAAAAATAAAGTTTGAATAGTTTGAATAGTTTAAATATGAACTTACGCTTCAGAAAAGCTTCCTTCCTTCTTAGCCTTCTTTAATTCTGATATATCATCTTTGGTTGTTTTTATTCGACCACCTCCCCATGTTTGATATTTTTTTCTGTAAACACAGAAAAAAAAAAAATTAAAGATAATATTTAAATTTGCCTTAGAATGATAAAAGAAATAATAATACATACATTTGTTCAATTTCATATTCGCTAATTGGTTTACTCTCTTTCTTAGTACTCTTTGACTTTTTACGAAACCTAGCTTGACATTTTACATGTAAAGTTTCACAAAAACCAATTGTTTCTACATCAGCTCTTAATTTATATCCACCATCAGCAATTTCATCAACACTTAAAAACTTGTCATAATAATTTTGTAATGCTATTCCATCACTTCTCATAATTGGTCTCCATTCTTCTTGTGGACCGATAGCCTCTCTCTCAGCAGTAATGGCACCAAATTTATCGGAAGCAAGATATTTACCATCAAAAGTTTTTAATGATATACAATCGGTTGAACCAGCAATTTTAGAACCCACAAAAACGAAAGAGACTTCTTCGGGATCACAAGTCTGAAGATTTTTATCAGGTAAAGGACGAACACCAATGGAATGATCTTTCTCGGAACAGAAAAGGCATGATAGAGGTTCACCATTAAATATAAAAAATAAGGGGCCAACCAGATCTTCTTGTGTTGCAACAGGCACCCAACCTGTAAAATAAAAATAAAATAAATGAATTATTAAAAATTTGAATCATAATTTTATATATACAGTTAACAAGTTTCAAGTGCAGTGCAACTTTTATATCTAAATACAGATTTTGGTTTTGTCCCACTTAGTTATATGCAAAGTTTGAAACACACACTTAGAGAGATTGAATACCTTCTTGACTGCCTTCTTCTTCAATTGATTCTTCTGCTTTACGTTTTTTCTTTTTCCTAATTAAAAAACAAAATTCATCTAAAATAAACGTTTTATTGGGTTTAATTTCAATATAAAATTTAGAATAATTACTTTGAGGATTTATCTCCTTTAAAACTTAGTTTTCCTGTTGATGCAACTTTATACTCGGACATAGTGACAAAAAAAAATACGTACTGTATAAAAAGATTGCAAGTTGTTTTAAAAATTTATAATCTGCAATTTGTATCACAAATACAGAAATACCAGGGTGAAATGTAACAGCGTATACTTATTTGTGCCTGTAACACAAACCTTATATGGAATAGATCGGCAAATTCAAAGACATAGTAAAAAAATAAAACGCGAAAATAAAGAAAAACGAGTGTCTAAATCGACCCCCGATATATTAAGTAAAAATGTTGGAAATGAAATTTTGCATATAAAAACAACTTTAGTTTAGTCTTTACCGCTTACACTAACCGCTAACCTTAAATCTTTAACTACATCTTAACGTAATTTTTTAGTTATAATTTCCTTTTTTGGTTTGTGTTACAGGCATAAATAAGTAAATCCAATGTAACAGACCCCGGGTGGTATGAATACGGTACACAATATTAAAAATCAGATATATAAGCAAGTCAAAAGCAATTTTCATTTTTTCAATCTTTTAACGTTATTAAAAATATAATAATAAAAAAATTTATAAAAGAAAAGACATGGCCGCAGGAGATTCATTACGTTATCGTACGCGCACAATGGTCCCTTCTGGTATTTATTCAATCCCCTGTACCTTCTAATAATTTTTATAGAAAATAACTGGATCTTTTCAATACGATAGGTCCTCCAGAAACTTATGGATCAAGAACCATGACACTCCACCCGGAAGATCTTGAAGAACAAAGTTCAGGAGAAGAAACAAGAAACCCTTCACAGTCTGTTGGAACTTTGAGACTACGTGGTGGAGGACTTCCAAGTGGTAGAAAAGTAAAATGGGATGAAAACGTTGTTGATAATGAAGGAATGGGAAAGAAAAAATCAAAGAGTATATATGATTCATATTATTGATTTATTTGTCTGTTTACACCTTACTTGTATACTAACAACGTTTTATTTATTTTTTTTTTTTAAGTATGTTGTATTTATCATAGGCCACGATCATTCGATGAATCATCAGATGAAGACTCAAGCAGTTGTGACGAATCTGATCATGATAATGAAGGAGAAGATGGTCACCATCATCATAAAAAACGGAATGGTAGTCCAAATGCTTATGAACGACAACCACATTATAAAGGTATGAATTGTTAAAATATCGATATTATATTATTATATTGAAATTCTTAATTATTAGAATTTATTATTTATCTCTATCGAATCAATCAATTACTAGGTCGGTTGCGTCCACAAAATGTCTCATAATCTTAATAGAAAATTAACCTAAATAGATGCCTACGCATTTTCTTGTAATTAATTTTTATATGCATTTATTCTATTTTTTTTTTCATCACCAAATAACTGTTAGTATTTTACTTCAGTTAGCTTTATATATATATAGAAAGTGTTTTACATTTTCTTTTATTGTAACTTGATAGACATTTCAAAATGAAAATTTTTATTCGAAATAAATTTTTTAGCAAGTTTTAACAAAGAGGGAATTAATATCACTACTCATATTAGCTATGATATTAACTATGATATTAACTGTGATATTAACTATGATATTAACTGTGATATTAACTATGTAGGCTTAGTTTTTTAAAATGTACGTTGCAATAGAGGAAAAGATGGTAGATAATCTTGCGTTAAACATGCTACTCATTTCTTCTTTAGAGTTTACCAGATTGATCGTCATGACCCGAGCATTGCACTTTTGACATATATTAAATAAGGCGTTATTAAATAAGGCGTTGTCAATTTGGAGCAATTTTTAACTCTACCAGATTCTATAATGATTAATCAAAAAAAATTTATGTATAATAAATCAGAATAAATAAGCTTAATTAATTTGATTGCTATATAATTTAAAGTCAAAAAGTAATACAGTACATCAAAAAGTCAACCATTTTTTCCCCGAATATAATTCTCATTTGTGGAACGCGTTTTTGCTAAATTTGCGCCTTCCGCCTTGATTAATCTCAAATTTAGAAATAATTGTAGTACTATCGCCATTATATAAATAAATAAAAACTCAAAAAATATTGAATCACTAGTACGTACGTACAGTACATAGATTTTTTTTATATATAAATCAATAATACGTACGTAGAAGCAATTACTGTAATAACGATGAGAAATTAAACTGTATATATAAAACCTTTCTTCAGAACTAATACTCTTGTATGGGATTTCCTTATTATTTTTTGAACTTAACTTTGAGCACATTGGGCACTGAAATTTCATGATATCTGTGTATGTACCCCTATCGTTACTCCTATCCTAGGACTTCAATCTAATTGCATATTTGTATACACACCCTAATTCAGTAATTCTAAAAAGTACATTTCCCCTGATAAAAATTAAAGAAATTTCGATAATAATCTTTCATATGTAAACCGATCTTTGAGTAACGATAAAAAGTCATTACCAGTATGAAAACTTTTATAAAAAATTTAGGTTGTGCATCCACAAAAAATTGTTCCACCCTATCAATCAAAATTCAAGCTCGGGTGTAACATGAAAGTCAAAAATAAGTCAAAAATAAGTTTTTTATTTAATTAAATTGTGTAAAATTAAAAAAAAGTTAATAAATCGCATTATGTTTAGAGTTAAAATTAAGAATAACCTAGCATTCTCTAGTAAAGTTTACGTATAAGAAACGTCTTTTAAGTTGCAAAATTTCTGTATTAACCCAGTATACGTACGTACGTATCACGAGAGATGCACATTTTACAATATAAAACATGCATATCTTCAACTTTTATTAGAAACAAAAAGATAGTTACTGTAATAAAAAATTGTGTTTGAACTGTATAAATGATCATCTCTTTGTTATCAACCCCGTAAATATTAATCAAGTGCATAAGCATGTTTTAAAAATTATATAGTATTGTCAATAATAAATATATTTACGGAATCGACCGGGGCGACCCCAAAAGTGCAGCCACAAACCAAGCTTATAATTTATCGATCATATTGTCTTAATGAACACTTATACTGATTAATTGCTTCAAAACAAAAAAAGTTCTGTTTTACAAATTTTCTTCTTTATATTTTTTTAGAAGTTTATAGAAGTATACGTAAACGTGTTTGGACGTTCTTGAATTGAAATATTAAATATGGCAAAAAAGTCAAAACTTTAAAAATACGTACAGTATACAAATGAATCCGATACTGACACGAAATGTACACAACGATTTGATTGGACCAAAGAACATCGATGTGTATACATTTACATTTTTATCAAATAGTCAAATTTTAAAAGGCTGTTATATACCATTAGTTTTCTTTAAATTTAAATTTCAAACCAAAAGTTTTGTTCTTACAGACAAGGAGAACAAATCTTGTGAATTAATATATTTAAAAGAAGAATAACATTTTTTTGTAAAGTCATTTTAGAGATTTAAAGCACCATAATAATAACGATAACGATAATATTCAGTTGTGTAACTTATCACTTCCCCGTTGTGTGATCGCCTAGTTTTACAAAACCCTTGACGTTGTTACGAAGTTGCGTTGATTGGTTGGTCATTACCGAATGAAAACAAACTTATACAAATTAGGATAACAGTATTAATCTTAAACTTTCTAAATCATCGTTACGTATGCATTGTGCGAAAACGTGTAAAGATAATTAATTTTATGCATATTACGCATAATCAATTATCCAATTCATTCCAATTCTTTTTTTGGGCAATCTTAATATTGTCTCTATAGAACAAAGCAGCTTATAATTCATGTTATATAATGTGTATTCTTCTATATATTTGATTATTAGTAAAAAAAATAAAACTTTAAATATATTCTTTTCTATTTGATTATTATATAGAAAAAATAAACTTAAATAAAATGATGAAAACGAATAAGTTGAAGCAAAAAAATTTAGCATTCATACAGTAAAAAGAACATAAAAAGAAATTACTACGTATATTCTTTACTTGTTCCCCATTACGATTACACACTTTTAAATGTATAGTTTAAATTTGAAATCTGAATCATAAACATTGACCGTTAAATCATAAATATTGACAGCTTTGTTTTAATATGAATAAAGAAATCAGAAATTTTCAAGTTCTGATTTTCAATTGATTGTACTGTACGTAGTAGCTTGGAGAATCACCTCGATCATTAATGAATTACATAAGAGGAGGTACCCGAAAACAATCTTAAACAAGTGGCATGTTCATGATCTTAATGCAGTCAGGGATTTTACCATATTTGGCGATTGACGATCGTACCATATTTAGAAATGATTATCAATAGAATTATTCTAGAATTCTTTACTAGATTATTCTACGTATTACAATGATTAGCCAATCAGATTAGAGCCTATATTAATCGATTTATGGATTTTACATAGCCTACAAATCTATCGCTTAAATATTGAATAATAAAATGTATGAATAAAGATCTTGACAAACGACCTTCTACAACAGAAATTATCGAAATAACACATTAGTAAGATGAAATGAAACAGGATTATAATGAGATCAAAAACCAATTTTTGGAAGCTAATAAAATTAAACCTGTTGCGTAACTTATTATATTTTTCTAAGTTCGCTGCTCATACACTAACTCTATATCCTTTTTTTTAATAAACAGAAATTTAAATAACATTTTAAAGGACCACGTGCCATCTATATAGCAATTTCGAAGGCATTCTGAATTTAGATCACAAGGAGGATCAGTAGAAGTAAACTTCGGAAACAAAAGATTTGAATACCGGAATATTCGGGTAAATTTATTCAAAGTGTTAAACTATTTTAAAAAACTTTCAAGCAGATTAAAATAAGGATTTTAATGTATTGATTGAGTTCAATAGATGCCAGACCATCAAGTACTAAGTAAGGCATGTTCAAATATTTCAAATCTGAGGTTTTGTAAAAAGATTAAAGCACTTCAGCCTGGAATCTTTTTTTTATTCAGCGGATTGGAAAATTTAAATATGTTACAAAGGCTCATTATAAATAACAACTGTGATTTAATCTTAGAACGAAAGGAAGAAAGCATTAGCAGATTCGCTTTACAAGAATGCTACACCAAAAGGTTTGGATCTTTATAAAAATGATCTTGATCAGGTGGTATTAAACATTAACAAATACATTTTGTAGAAACTTTCTCCTGATTAGTAGATTGAAAGTCAAATGTTAACAAAGGTATCTTGTAAAGAACATCGACTTTGTAATTTAATCCCAGAACAAAAGAAGAAAAGCATTAACAGATTTACTTTACAGGAATGCTGCACTAAAAGGTTTGAATATTTCAGTATTTATGAAAATGATTTTTATTAGATGATAGAAAAAGCATTAATGAATATAAATTTTGAATTTTATTAGAATGTGTTAACATTGACAATATCAAATTTTAATGGAATCTTCTAATTTATCAATAGTGTGGCGAATGAATTTTATTGTTTTATTTTTATATTTTGTACTTGTAAATTTGCATGTATATTTAATTTTATCATTAAAAAATAAATAAATTTTTATAACTTATAATTCACGGGGTACTTTTTAACAATATAATTTAATGATTTAAATTCAACTTTTATTTAATTTTAGTAATTGATTACTGAATTACATGTGAATTCGAATGCGTAAAGGGGTAAAATAAAGCTAAAGGAAAAAATATATATATGGCCAAAATACATTATTGATCTTCGCAATTATGTTGACTTCGTATTTCCTGCAATATAATTAGCAATTCACTTTTATTTTTTGCTCTTAACCCAGAATATTTTTTCGGGATATTATCGCAAAGCTGTTCAAGAAAGGCTTCTATTTTCGCTAAGATTTCACCTTTGGTTATATTTTCTTCATTTTCTTGTGCCTCCGCTTCTTGCTTTGTGATCGGTATTGATCTAAATAAAGAAGAAGGATTTTTGTTAATAAATACTTTAGTAATAAAATTTTGTTGCGCTTTTTTAGCTAAATGCGTAAAATTTTTAAGATCCTCATTTAAATCGTATTCTTCTAGGCTTTGATTCACAAATCCAAGGCTTCGCAGATGAATTCAAAATCTTTGGTATTCTATACTCGATTCAGGCCGGGTTCTTGTCCCAACCGCTTGATGACTATTATACCCGATTATATTGAATAAGTTTTTCTGAAGCTAAAATTTTAATTTAAAGTTAAAAATTAGAATACTGGAATAATTATTTACCAGTAATTAAATAATTTTACATACCCTGAAGAACTTTTTACAATTTCGTACAGCTATTTGCCAATGTTGTTGTTGCGGGATGAGAGGTATTAAAATTTTCAAGGTTTTATTTATCTCCTCCATTATTGCATCAAGGCCTTGATGCTGTTCTAAAATACCTGACCAGAAAACAACACAATTTTTTTCTATGATATCGCGTATTTCTGGATGAAGCCTCATCAATTAAACTTCGTCAGAAACTTCTATGAGATGATAAATCAGATGGTACCTTGTAGACCAAACAGAAGAAAACGCTCTTCTCGCAGCTGCTTTTAAAAAAGAATTGTTAGTTCTTATAGCTTTTCGATAGTTAATTATTGCCTGAAGATAGATAAATGTCTGTTATAATAAATTTAACACTTATTAGTAATAATGTATAGATAAATTTAGTGCAGTATAGAGACAAATTGCTAATAATTATCTGTTCAAACTTTATCTGATAAAGTGAATCGTGCTGATCCTTAGCCCAAGCAAGATATCTTTTAACCAACAAGTCAGAATGATTTTTCACATACGGCCACACGAGTTCTATAGAAATTGCCTGGCGATAAATGTTACAAATTAAATCCCAGGACTTGTGATGGTTGGCACATTTCTTAAAATAGGTGAGTTGATTTTCTGTCTAATAGCCTTGATATCTTGCAAATCGCTTGATATCAATTTCCCTAATTCATAAAAAAAAAAAAAGCAATTTTTAATTGCTTTATTTTTTGAAATATCACAAACACTTAACAAAAAACAACCTACCAATTTAATTCCACATATGCTCAAAGCATATTCATTTTCTCATGTAACTGTCCTGGTATGAGAATCAACCAAGAAAATTTTTCCTTTAACTTGGTAGCATGATGATATGGAACACCATCGCATGCTACTGCTACCTACTTGCGAGTTTCATCCTTAATACCCGATAATTTCCCTATATGCGAGAGAACCTTTTCAATATTCGCGATTGAATTAGGATTAATATTAATTGGATCGGGCACAAAAATCTCGGGAATATTAACTCCTTGATTAACGACTTGCTGCTGGATATGACTGATCCTTGGAATATGCATATCACTTGGTTCATCGCTAGTACTATTATAAGGTTTAAAATAAATAAATAAATTAGTTGATTGATTATCTATATGATTCTCGACTTCGATTTCTTTTTCTTTTTGAATTTCGGCCAATGTTGATAATCATGCTCCACATATTGGGCATGTTTTCTTTCGATTTTCAATATTTTGTAGGTTGCAGTTAGTGCACCTTTTCATCTTTGAAGCATTTGTTGCCGTAGATGCTGCAAGAGAATCGATAACATTAGTAGATGATAATTTTTTATCAAACAACAAATTAAGGATATTAGCAAGATAAGCATGTAATTCTTTATCAAGAACTTCTTGCATTTGAGGGCTGATATCAAAAAGCTCTTCGTACTGTAAATTGCTAAGAGAATCACATATCCAAGGAATGTTAATATGCTGAAGTTTGTTTTGAGCTGACATATTAAAAGCAACAAAACTAGTAACAGTGTGGTAAACCACTGTATTGAACCCACAGTCAAGATAATTTTTTTGCCCTCTTTGTTCATTGTCAAACACAATGAATAAAAGACCTTCGGGTAATGGCTCTTCATATCTTGATAAGTCTTCTAATCATCTTTGAAATCGAGAATAACTCCCTGAGCACATAATATGATTATCAATATCGATGATCATCTTTGATCGTGCTATTGAATCCTTGATAGCTGAGATAGCAAGATGAACTTCTGATACATATTTATCATATCATGCTCTATATATTAAATCGACGGCCGCAGAAATCTTAAAAAGCTTTTCTTGGCTTATGGTATTAGCACCTTGATTGTTCGGAATCAGGGTTTCTAAAAATTTAACAACAACCTAATTACGTTTAGTAAGCTATTCACGTGGACTATATACTATAAGACTCTCTACAGAAAACCTAGACTTATTCTAAACTAAAAATCTTATATCATCAAATACCGATATACGTTCCGTATTTGCTATTTCAACTATTGCTTCAATACGTTTTTGTTGAGTAGCAAACCTTGAATTCTACTGTTCAACAAGAACATGATTATGCTTACATTGTTCATCATATAAAACCCAAATATCAATCATATTATTTTGAGCTTTCTGTAATTAGCTTTTTAATTCTTCTATTTCACGCTTTTGACCTTCAATATATTGCTGCATTCGTGCAATTTGATTATTGAGGTCTATTATTAACTATGATTTTTGCTAGTTTTCTACTTGCACGACTTCCAAAAGCCGTCTAGCTTTATCAAGCTCAATTGTTGAATCTACATAAACAATTTGGTTATCTTCAACATTAATTGTTGAGCTTTCGTTAATACTTGGATTATCCTCAGCAATTCGACTTTCTTGAGCAGAACCTACAAGATGCTCATAAAATTGGTTAGTTACAGCAATTTAAGTATAATGTGAAGAACAAAGAGAATGAGATTCTAAAGACAAGTTAGCAAGTTCAGGAACATAATCATAATAATACGCAAGTTGTCTAGCTACTTCAGGGCCACTTGTATTTTGCTATTTCTGTAACCTGCCTGTTCTGCAAAGTCTTAGCCCAAGGCTTTCATATTTTTCAACTAAATCCGCAAATATACATTTCTTTTCGTGTGCTTTCTTTTGCTATTGTTGATCAGACACTATATAAAGATTATTTAAGACACTATGTTAGTTACAAGATTAAACCTTCTTACTTAACAATTCGAAAGAAACTCTTAGATTTGATATCTCATTTACTTTTTTTAAAACGGTTAAATGTGAGGGATCAAATGGGATTAATTAAATTTGGTGCTTTATATTAACTATTAGTATATCGTTTAATATCGAATGAATAGGGCGAAAGCCCACTGCGGATATGGGCACAAAAAAGCATTACACAGCCAATTAAATTCATGATATGGTACAGGGATTATTCTAGAAGGCGATTTCCTAATTTGGTAAAATCCCTGACTGTAATAACATTAAAATGTTCATTCATTCCAATTATTTTGATTGTGTTACTAGTTAACCTATCATTATTTATCATTATCAATTCTTTATTTTCTATATAAATATATAAAAATATGTAAATTTTACTTTCAAATATGAATTCCTCTTTACATGAATAAAAATGGGAAATGAATGCACAAAACTTCGTAAAAGTGAAAAAAACCAGATAATAATTCGTTGGAATTTAATAAATGAAGAAACTGATATTGCTCAGTTAAATGCAAGTGGAAAAAATATCATTGAGCAATATAAGACTATGTTAAACCAACTAAAACAAAACAATCAACTAACTTATAATGAGAAAAAAAAGGCTGTGGAAAATATAACTTTCATGAGAGATCGAGAAAATCTTGTTCGATTGAAAGAAATTACTTATCTATGTAAAGTGTGTGGAAAGCAAGGATATACTGAATTATCTTGTGAACACTACGTACGCGAATACCTCAAGAAAAACTTTATCAGGGAATCAGGGAATGAAATTTTTTTTTTTTTTTGGTTTTAAGGTGAGGCCTTGCTCATATCTTTATTAGTAATAATTTTTTAATAGTAACAAAATAAATTACTACAGCGCAGTTGCCGAGACTTCTACTTGTAGTCAGGGCTAACCATTAAACTACTAAATATAGAGATTTACAAAGCTATTACTATTTGTACCAGTATAAATAAAAATAAAAATTACATGCAAAAATAAGAGCTTAGACAAGGAAAAATTTATCTGCGACCTAAACCTACTAAAGTGGTCAAAGACTCACCTAGGTTACTATAGTTAAAATATAATTTAAATAAGTATTATATTTGGTCTAATAATAGGACCAAGTGTTAATTTTCTTTCTGGCCTGACCAACTGGTAGGCAGGTTCCTGTGCATGAATGAAGTTGATCTGGTTCTTCACATGGGCAGGAATATGTATATATTTTCTGTATGTGGTTAATATTTTTGGAGTTTGAGTCTGAACTGGAGTCTTCTAGGTCTAAGGTAGTAGTGTACCTAGTAGCATTAGATTTATTGTAAGAATAAGATAAGTGATGTTGTTTTTTTCAGTTGGCAAAGTTAGAGCAATATGGTTTCTATAACTGTTCGTACAGTTGTTCATTAATCTTAAGCAGTAGATTAATAATAATGTTGGATGCTATTTTGTAA